ATGAATTTAAAGATCAGCCCAAAATAGTGTACAAATACCCCTAAAACATAACACAAATGCTGGTAAAATCTGATTTTATTCCCATTAAAGCTTCATTTCCAACAAAAACTTTAGGTATAGTATCTTTAGTACTGTACGTAACCCATACAGATATGTAATTAGACCCTAGATCTTTGCATTTCCACGGCAGACAGTACTCTAAAATGATGCTAGGGTTGTTGTAACTCTCAGCTCCGTCCACTAGAGAAACTTGTACATCTCATTTATCGTCAATAGAACTGACATTTTCAGAACAAAAAAAGAACAGTCTGCAGTGAGCGTCTCCCTTGATATAATATTTAAAAATTGTGGGTTTGCGCATTGAGTCCTTGTCAGACAAGAGCAGGGATGTAGTGTTGCCAGAGCGCACTGAAATGGAAATGCAAAAATAACCACTCTAATGTGTACTAAACTGAACTGAACTGAACTGCACTGTTAGGTGGAAACGAGGCTTAAAAATACCACTTCCCTTGATCCTCCGCAAAGAAATTATTGGTGTGGCTCATGTACTTTTTACATTTAAGTCTACTACATGTACTCTACTGATAACAGGAAAAACAGTGAAAGCAAGAGGCACTGTATCTTGCCCCACAAAGAATGTACTTTATCTTATCAAATGTCCATGTGGTTTAGCATGTAGGAAAGACACAAAGAGCTCTTAAACCAGGATAGCTGCAACCGGAACCGGGATCAGCGTAACCCAGTGTCAGTGCATGTCAGAGAGGCTAATCACCCTGTCGCCTCTCTGAGATACACTGGCGTCAAATTTGTTAGATCTCTGAGAAGAAGAGGTGATTAAAAAGCTCTCAAACTCCAAACAGAGTTTTTATATTTTCACTGTCCAGACTCTTACACCTACAGGTCTTTATTAAACTTGTGTGGCATGGAGTGAGTGCACAGGCGTTACTTTTTTCCTCAATGTACGCTGTTTTTTCATAGCCTTGCACCTACATGATGTACATATAATTATTCTCTCTCAACTCTGTGAATGTGTAATTTCAGATTTTTAAGTTAAAAAAAAACTTTTAGGGATGTCATGTCTGATCTTGTAGCAAAATAAGATTGCTTGCTGCTTTACTACCAAGGTTCAACATAACTTTTCAGTACCCACGTCAGTAAAACAGGGTTTATTGCCTCATTGTTCACTTTGAAATGATGAGCAAGGGTCAAAAACTGAACTGTTATCTGTGTCAGTCATCGCACGGACTCTCTATTAGCTCCCTTATCAAGTGCGTCCAATGACTGGCCGAGTTAAGTTGTTAAGTTCAAGGTTTTGCATAGCAGACAAGTTGCACAATCACCTTGTCTATTGTTTACACTTAAGTGCTTATCTGCTCTGGAGGTGAAAACTCAAAATATGACCTCTCTGTGAATGTGTGTGTGTGTGTGTGTGTGCGTGTGTTTAAGGGGGAGATGTTTCAAGTTGCTTGTGATTGGCTAGTTTGATAAAGAAGTCTAAGTAATGTTTTTGTCTTGAAGTAACTGAGTTTTGTAGTGGCGTGCTCACGTGGTGTCGTGAGAGAAGAAGCAGCAGTTCCTCTGCAGTTTCCTCACAGTTTGTTATTTCTCTCTCCTGCTGTGAGAATAAAAGGAATTCCTTGGAGATTTTTTTGATGAGTGATGCCACTGTGCTCTGGACTCTGCACACTGGGGCTGGTTGTTTTCATACAGACTCCAATTGTCATGACAAGACAGTGCAGCCAGGCTATGACTGTGGGTCACATAAATGTCCTGGTGCAGACACAGTGGTGTGGTGTGCATTAACTGAACTGAACAATAAAGCCGCAAGCATGATAGAGAAGGAGGGAGATGTCGGCTTGATGGGTGACTCATGTGAGACTGCAGTGTTCTTAAAAACCCATACATGATCTCCTCAGTCCTGTCACTAACAGACCATAATATTCTGTGCATTATTGTGTGAGGAGGATCAGAGTGCTGACTGTGGAGTTGGGTTCAGTTGGAAGTCAGTGACAAGAAATGGGAAAACAAAAGTAGCACTTAGAAGGGAAAGGTGTGCTTCGTGTCACAGCTGGATGAGAAAACGGTGCGGTCGATGAGCAACGAAGGAGGGCTGTGAAGCCGGCTGTGTTGAACCCCAGGGAGCAGACGAGAACACCGAGCCAACAGAGACCAGAGAGCAGAGAGGTGGCTTGCTGACCTGTTCTGAAAACCCCTCTCCTCCTCCCTCCTCCACCTCTGGAGCAGCCAGCGGGGGCCTCAAGTCCCCATCCAAACTAAACACACCAGACCGCAGCTGCATTCAAGCTCACATGCAGTTATCGGAAACCTAAACATCCATCTGTGCAGCCTCTCTGAAAGTGAATCTGAGGAATTGGTTATATTCGTGTCATACAAGCGCAGATGCACTTCACAAAGAAACCCACAAGTCAGCAAAGATCTGGAACGGAAAAGCTGTGTTTGTGAGTCGTGACTCGTGACTGAGGGAAATGATGGGGGAGGGCCGGTGAGGAGGAGAGAGGAGGAGGAGGCGGGTTGCACACGCAGAGGCAGGTTGTGATTGGTAGATGAAGGGGGTGGAGAGAATGAAAGGGGGAATGGGAAGCATCTTCTTACACTGAGGGCATTCTGCACCTAAAATATAGAGCATCTTGGCCACATCTGACGTACAGTATTTCATCTGTTTGCTCAGAAATGACTGTCTGAGCATACAGAGGACAGAGCCTCTCCTATACTGATTCAAGTCTCACAATGAGAGAGCTCATGCATTAAACATGAGTGTTCAAGGACACACACGACGCACAGATGTTGCAGTGATGATAGATTTGTTTTAACAAAGTAACCCTTCTACACTGATCAGTAACACTCTATTTTAAGAGGCTGTCAACAATGTGGCATAATTAAGCTGCACAGTGGTTAACTACTGAGATATATATCTTGTGCTATTGTCCCTAGTGAGGGATGAATAAGTGAGATACAGAGATTTTGATAATCAACTGCAGGCAGTAGTGTCGTAGTTGGTGATGAGGTGGACATACTTCTAGGTAGATAGGTACGTGGGTATACCCTCAACTACATCACTGACTGTAGGACTGATTCAATTAGTTGATTGACAAAAAATGAATAGATATTAAGCTCCATAATTGTGAGGATTTGCTGCTTGCTTGCTTTGATTTGATAGCGTTGACCTGCCACCCCACCTGTAACTGAGTGCTGTATTTGATTTGGTTGACAGTGGGCATGGGATGGTTAGAAAATTTTAATGTCACAGTTATCCTGGCTAAATAATTGCCATTCAGGATATTATGCAGATAATCATCAAAATGCGCTTAAAAGTCTTAAATAACCCTAAAATAGAATGGAATCATGTTACCTTACATTTTGTTAAGAGACATATTTTTATTGCATCACTGAGAGGAAGCATCTTTTTACTGAACATCCTCTTCAGTGAAAAACAATCTTAAAAAGCCAGGCAATCCATCCTGCCGCGATCAGGGTGGAGGTTTTGCCTCCCCAAATGTAGCACTAAGCGTTACAGATCGTCCATTGTCCCGCCTGCTATCGCTTATCTTAACCAGCAGTGACCACTAATTGTCCATGATACTCGTGAAAGTGTGTGTTACTGGATCTTCTGTGTTATGTATTGTACTATCTGTCTTGTTGTACTCATGACCATTATCTGTATCTTTATCATTATCATGATCACCACATTCTTTATGACGCTCTTAAATTTATCAGTAGATATAAAAGTTTCTCATTTTGGATCTTTTTGCAGAGTCTTCCATGCCCAAGTTGCCTTGTAGGAAAATGCAGTTTTCCTCAGATCTTTCAAAAGTCAGTGTACATTAAAAAGAAAACACCTGGAGGAGCATAGCTGGTAACTGCCAGAGCTATGAAATATCTTTTATCTTGAGCTACAATAAAATCGTATAGCGCCCCATCCCTAGTCCACAGCACACCGGGGAGCCATCAGTTTCTGTTCAGGATTCCTGGACTTGATATTGAGTAAAGAGAAGTATCTCTTTTCAAGTTTGTTCTACAGTGTACTGAGTAAAACAGTCAGAATGTTCTTCATACTGCAACACAGCCCCAAACCTCACTGGGGAGTCTGACATTTACTTCTTGCAAAACCTCTTTTCCACAAACATAGTGAAACACCAAGCTAGCGTGTGAGACCGTTTTTTGTGAGAAACAAATGCTGTGTTCATGAGGAGCACTGAAATGGATAGTAAAAGACACATTTTTATATCTAACCAGCTTAATTCATGTTACTGAGACACACACTCAGACACACAGTTTCTGTGAACGTGGAGGCCTTTCCTTGGCACATTGTGGGTTTCAAAGTGGGTGACTGCCTGTCTTTCACCATAGTTTCAGAATATTGATTTTTAGATATTGTGTATTTTAGGTCAGGGGTCTTAGACGTTTTTTAGATCAAGGACCCCTTAGCTGAAAGACAGACAGAGCCGGGCCCCCCGAGTACATATGTAAATATTGAGTTGCATTAACTGGGTATACAATTATATGTAGGGCGGCCTAATGTGCCACATAAAAACATATTTTTATATGGTGCATACAATGCTAAGCTATTAAAATAACCATCGACAGATTCACATATTTATACATCATGGATTCATTTGACAAAAAATCATGGGTAACAGATGTTTTTCTATTATTATCTAATAAGCCAATGGATCTTTGTTAATATGTTGGATTCATGTTAATGTGTATATACGGCCATATTTTTATTTTTAGGGGAAAAAATAATCAAACAATAATTTGGCAGCCCCCCTGCAGTAACTCTGATGACCCCCTAGGGGTCATGCACCCCCTGTTTAAGACTCATGTTTTAGGTGATCACTAAAAGCAAGTCTATGTTGTAGTGTTTGTGGCAACATTGCTTTAAATAGCTTTTGAAATGTACTGATCCTTTGTTTATGGAACTTGTTGTCAACAGCCACATCATGAGACTGTTTAATTTGACCTCTCCTCTTTCATTACAGATATCCCCTACATTGATCTAACAGCAACTGCAAGCAAGACGAGCGAACAAAGCACAATCAGACTACTGTAACAAACAACAGAAGACAAGAACAACCACCGCGTAACAGGCTGACAGACAGATTGACACTTTGACCAGCCAGGGCTTCAGATAAATGGCTGACAAGCAGATCAGGTAAGGCGGAATGTGGAACGACTACAAATACAGCCGCACTGTGGCCTTATTTTCGTCTATTGACCTCTCATATTTCCTATTTCTGTCTCTTGTCCAGTTTGCCTGCCAAATTGATCAATGGGGGGATCGCTGGCCTAATTGGAGTGACCTGTGTGTTTCCCATTGACCTGGCCAAGACTCGCTTGCAAAACCAGCAAAATGGATCTCGCCTTTACACCAGCATGTAAGACATTTCTGTATTTGACTATATTTGACTGTATTTGACATATTAACTTATGAACATATTGCTTGGTTATAGTCAGAACTGATCAGCAGCATCACTAAACTTGTCATCAGGGCCCAGTTGAAAAAAGTAATCTAGACCAGAATGATCTACATTTGGAAATCCTCAGATAATCCATCCTACTTTTGTGCCGTTTTTTCAAAGATTACAAAATCCAGATAGTGCTCTAAAAGGGACTTCATATCACAATGCAGGCAGTCTGCCAACAAACACACTGCAATTACCGCTTATTGCCATAGGTGCTGCCAAAGAGAATGAAGCAGAGATCATTGAGATTCTAACTTTAAGCCTTTTGGTACAGTAGGATAAAAATAAAAAAGAATGTTGTTCACATAAAATACTGCCCCAAATAGCTGTCAATATCAAACAAAAAGTATTTTATAGATAGCATAAAGTCTACTCAATCTATTTTATCACAGTAACTGTTCAACAAATCAAGTGCAAAATCTAAATAAATGTATATATATGTGACCAATTTGCAAGTTTTATTACATTTTGTTCCTGAAATCCACCCTGAATCTGCCCTTCTGCTGCAACCAGAATAATCCAGATTTTTTTAATCCAAAGTATCCCAATCCTACTAAAAAGTTTTGAACAACACATACTAAAGGTTTGATCCAGATCAAAATCAAGACTAGAATACACGATCAAATTCAATTCCAGAATCCCCTTTTTTCTTTCGAACAACCTTTTTTCAAGACTTGATCCAATCCAATAGCTGAAATCTGATCAGATTATTTCTGGACACCTGGGCCCTGACTCTCAGTGCCCCCCTCTCTTCCAATGCTCGCTTGCCTGTCGCTTGCTTGTCCACAGATGGCGTCCATGGTGTCAAACCACCGCCAGCTCTTTCTGTTTGCGCCACTCCGGCTGTTGTGGTCCTTTATTCTTCTATAATCACTTTTGAGTTTTTTACATTTTGCCCAACATTGTTCAGCCATCCGGTGGAAACTTAACGGCTCTGTCCAGTTCCCGCTGTAATTCCGCCTCTCCCATAACAGAGAGGAATTTCTGCACCTCGTTGACCAACCAAGAAACGCTGTTGTGCGCTGACATTTCGAGATAACAAATCCTTTGTTGAACAAAAGTGATGATTCGCTGTTGACCAATGAACGGACTGCAGTGTTTTAGCTCCACCTTTTAGTAACAGATCTGCTAGGTACCCCAATAGAATGGGTCCCAAAAATGGGGACAATACAGAACAGTTCATTGGTACCATCCACTACTTTTCACTTTGAAAAAAAAGGCACACTGAACTGAACTGTACCGTACTGCTGGGTGGAAAAGGGGCTTTAGGTAATTAACATACCACAACTGTTTTGTGTTTCAGGTCAGATTGCCTTATTAAGACCATCCGGTCAGAGGGGTATTTTGGGATGTACCGAGGTAAGTTTTTAGAGTTCTGTAATTTATGTCTGAGCTCGTTTAAGTGTAGATAATGAGAGCATCAAAGCTATTAGTTAGCATAGGCCTGTGATTACTTTCAACTTCAGAGAGAGGCTGCAGAGCTCAAATACAAGGATCTCACTGCTACAGGCAATTATCCCTCATTCTCTCTCTCCCTTGTCTGCTTTTTCTTCTTCTTCTTTGCTTCCTTACTTCTTCTGTCTGTCTTGCTCCCTGTCCTTTTTATCCTCCCAGGAGCGGCGGTGAACTTAACACTAGTCACACCAGAGAAAGCCATCAAATTGGCTGCCAACGACTTCTTCAGGCATCACCTCTCCAAGGATGGGTGAGGCATGAAAGTGCTGACAGGCTGACTGACACACACCCACTCCCCCCTCATTCACACTGTGATTAACTGGCGTGTTTACTAACATGTAACCTGACACATTAGCTGTCTGTTTTCCCACCAAGGCTCTAGTTAATCCTGCACCGTTCTGTCGTCTCCTCCGAGGCACCGGGCATTTCACAGCGGTTCGTGAACTGCCTGGTTTAAAAATACAGAATTACTCGTATCACGTTACCCAGTGAAATTAGCACACGATGGTATCGCATACCAAAGATTAGTAGCCATCGTCTGGTGTTGCTGAAATCCATCACCCACCCATTGTCCCCCATGATAAACCCGAAGGTTTCTGGAGCATCAATCTGCCTCTCTATGGTGACACACATGCGAGCTGATGAATGATTGACTTGTCTGGCCCTGCCGCTCACCTTGTGAATTATTAATCCGCCCTTGCTCTTGACATGTTGATATAGAAGATGAACATTATCATCACCAGCACAGATGGTGACAACTCCTGTTTTTTTTGAGGACTGCAGCAATAAAGTTATCTGACTCACACTGTCAGTCTGGTGCCTGCTCTAATGTGATCCTGCTTTTCATCGTCTTCTCCTCTCTTCCAGAAAACTAACTCTGTTCAAAGAGATGCTGGCTGGGTGCGGGGCAGGTACATGCCAGGTGAGTGAGTGAGGTGCTGCTTTAATTGCATCCTCCTGTTCTCCATCTGGAGCCGCTGCCTTTAGTACCGCCAGTGTCAGCTCACACACACACCACTGGTCACTGCCTGCAGCTAGAATTAACCACAATCACTTCCAAATGAGAGGAGTTAGTGGTTGCAGAAGCATGCTCGCCGTTTGTCTCTGTTATCTGTGATGGGAATGTGACCTGTAATGTTTCGCTTTCATTAATGATTTCTTTTTTTTTTTTTTTTTCTTTTTCATTAATGATTTCTAATCACTGAAATGTTGTCCCGTTAGCAGGCGATACACTGGCAGCTAGATGTGAGTGATCAGATAAGACGTTGCGAGAGTGCTTGGCCATGTGCACAGAGTGAGTGAGTCAGAGGGAAATGCCTCTTGTCAATGAGGGCAAAGGCTTCAAACCCGGGGAACGTGATTAGATTAAGTGTAGCAGACCTTGGATTAAGATTGAGGCTGAGAACATGGCTATCTCACCCTTAATCCAGTTAACTAGTTACTACTGTGTGTGGATTACAGAGGAAAACAAGAGATGACACGTAGCTCATGCATGCCAGTGGATTTACACTGGACACACGTTTTGCCTGCACGAATCAATCCTTCCTCACAGCGTGCATATGTTGACACTGATCCTAATACCTTTGTTTCATTTTGTCGCAGGTTATTGTCACAACTCCTATGGAGATGCTGAAAATCCAGCTTCAAGATGCTGGACGACTTGGTGAGAGGAAATGAAATCCAGATGGAGTTTTTAGTAAAGAATGCAGTGTAGGGGGTAAACTGGAGAAACAGTGACCTCATGTGGTCATATCTGAGATTACAGCAGCTTAATTCTGGTTTCTTCTTACTGTTATGAATTCAAAATGTCTGCCCACATACCTGTTCTGCATGATTCTAATAACTAGCTATATATGAAGTTTTAATTGTTAATGTTTTTCTTATGCTCCACAGCGGCTCAGAGGAAGCTGATGCCAGAGACGGTGGCAGCAGGTACTGTGGAGACCAAGTCCCCAACAGCCATGCAGCTCACCAGAGAATTATTTAGGGAAAAGGGCATTGCTGGGCTGTACAAGGGCCTTGGTGCCACATTGCTCAGGTAAAACAGATCTGGCAACTCTTTTAACCAACACTGCAGTGAACTTCACATGACTTACTGTGATTGTCTCTCTGATGTCTCTCTTTTTGTAGGGATGTCCCATTCTCCATCATCTATTTCCCCCTATTTGCCAACCTGAACAACCTGGGCAAAAGAGACATAGATGGGCCTGCTCCGTTCTACGTGTCGTTCATATCAGGCTGTGTCGCCGGGAGCACAGCGGCTGTCGCTGTCAACCCCGTCGATGGTGAGCGATGTGACTGTGAGCGTTGTCGAAACGTGTGCACCGTTAGTTGATGTTACATATTCACCTGAGCTCTGTGTGTTGCAGTGATAAAGACTAGACTGCAGTCGCTGAACCGGGGAAGCACAGAAGACACGTACAGCGGAGTGACTGACTGCATCAGGTGACCTCATTATGTCTTTATTGCTGCAGGATGTGTGATGCTGTGTGTGTAGTCAAGTTAACATGGATTAGAAGTACATCATCACACAAGTGTGTCAAAACACTTTACACCAAAAAACTAACAATGACAGCAGAACCAACAAATACAACTGCCACTCAAATTACAAAATATAGAGATAAACACCTTACCTGTATGTTTCACTTTTAATAACTGTCTAGGTCCATTTTTAAATGCTGTTTTTACAAATAAATTACCATCAACCCTTAAAAAGGCACAAGTCACCATGTATGCTGATGATTTAACAGTACACAGGTGCACCTGCAGTTGTCTTGAATAAGGAACTGTAGTCAGTAGTTACATGGTTAACAAATAAGTCAAGTCCAAGTTTATTAAAATGACAAACTAGTTCTTAATGTCTCCAAAACAAAATGCATTGTATCTGAGACAAATCATTTGTTACGAAAAGAGCCTAAGTTAAAGTTGTATGTAAAAGATGTTACAGTTGCACAAGTTCAAGAGACCAAACTTGTAGGTATAACATTAGATAGTAAATTATCTTGATCTAAGCATAGTGATAATTTGGTAACTAAGACGGGGAGAGGTCTTTCAGTTATAAGGAGATGTTCTAAATATTTCAACACAAAATGTAATAGGACGGCTCATTAAGGCAGTAGTTTGATCTCATCTGGAGTGTTGCTCAGTGGTGTGGTCCAGCGCTTCTATGACCCAGTTAAAAAGCAGCATGTTGTTCTCTTTGATGCTCACACAGAAGTAATGTAAATACAATTCATAACTGTTTATCCTGCTTAACGTACTTACTTACTTAGTTATTCAATAAATATATAGTTTTATATAAACAGCTATGTTTGAGCTCAGATGTATATAACTATGAAACCACGTGTGCTACTGGAGGTAAATAAACACTACCCAAAGTGAAAACCAGTATATTGAAGAACAATGTACAGAGGCATGATTACATGCGACTCTCTGCCTTGAGCCTAGTATTCAGGAAAAAAGTAAATATCGCTTTAAAATATCATTAAAACAAGATCTTTTGGCTTAAAAGTGCTCCTCATTTAATGATATTTAGCTATTAAGTATGTGATTTTATATAGTTTAATACACAATCTAAGGGGGCTTACATAGTATATACTAGGGATGGGAGTCACTAGATGATCCACCATACAGTATCATTGCAATTTTTAATATGTTGCGATACACCGAGTATTGCGATAAAATATATTGTGGTTTATTGCCTTTTTTCAACTGTGAATTATCTCCCCAAAGGAAAACTCTGTCATCTGTTTTCAGTCTCTTCATCTCATCTCAGCCAAGTTTTTTGCTGCAGCAAAATGTATCTAGTGGCAAATGATTTTATTATTTTAGTAGGCTGTAATATGAATAATTTATATAATAAAAATATTGATATTTGGCACTGTGTGATAATATGATATTGCCACACAAAAATATCTTGATACTATGCTGTATGGATTTTTCTCCCGCCCCTAGTATAAACTACAGTGGGTATCAATGGTTAAATCATATGTTTTATTATTTGATATTAATGTATGTTACGATCATGATGATAATGCTGTTGAATGATGAAAGTACTATGATATTTTTGGAGCACCATGATGCTTTTTGTAGGCACTATTTTGACTTTGATGTATGATCGGGCATGGTCTGCTCAATAACTACAGCTCAATATTGTGACATCTTTAATTTTGTATCTCTTTAGAAGACCTTATTTTCAGTTTCCATGGACTAGAGATAGGTCTTGTGTTGTTGTTGTTGTTGTGGTGGGATGTTTTTTATAATTATCTACTATCATGTACAGAATATTATCTTTGTTGTGGAACCCAGAAAGAATAGCTACAGCTATTGAGGATCCCAATAAATAAAATAACAAGCTTTTATTTGCTCTCTAGGAAAATCATGCGTAATGAGGGTCCATCCGCCTTCCTGAAGGGAGCTTACTGTCGAGCCCTGGTCATTGCCCCTCTCTTCGGCATTGCCCAGGTGGTCTACTTCCTGGGTGTTGGTGAATTTATCCTCAGCTTCTTGCCTAAAAGAGACAACTAAGAAGCACCTCCTTTCTGCCTTTCCCTCCCATTACGCATCACACCAACTGCGTGGGGATTCATCTCATTCTGATGGGTCACAGCATGACCGATTAGTACATGTTTTAAATTTCTTGTGTTGAATGTTGAAGTAGTTTAGGAGGGAGCCTTTTTCCTTTGCCAAGCTGCCTGTGGTGGCACACACAAATCCAGTAGGCACGCTGAGCTAGCTCTCTGGAAATGAAGCCACAAATATCAGTTGAAGTTTTAAATGAACGTTGCTTTTTAATTACAGCATTTTATTGCATTGTTTTAAATAAGATTGTCAAATCCTCAGAGTAGATGTACTGCCCTTGGTTGCTGCAGTTCTGCACGCCCTCCACTACCTAGCGTTAGTCTCTGAGTGACAGATCTATTGAAAATGAGACACCATAACTAGCTAAATTAAATGCACCTACTTTACTTATAAAGATATGAGACCATTAGATGAATAGAGCATTTACTAAAAAATGCTAATCAAAGAATTCCCTCAGACCTTATGTCTTAAAAGATAGTATATTTAGAATCAGAGAAACAATATGCCTCTGTTTCAGACAAAGACACAGGGAATGTGTTGATGTGTTAGCGGCACACCCCCTATGATCTTTCCTGAGAAGCCACATCCCTTCCTGTAAGAGGTTGTAATGAACTCAGCCATTCAGCTCCGAGCAGACTTTGATTGCCTTGGCTTTAAGTAGATCAGGTTCCAGCTGATATTCAGTATTACCACAATGTTTTGCCTCCATGAAAAAGATATCTCATGAGACGGCGTACCACATTTGGGCATTATGCACTACCAAACTACACCAACACGTTCTTTTAAACTGCCTCTGTGCTTCTTTCTGTGGGTAGAAACTATCAAGCATGTTGTACTTGTGGTCACGCCCCCAATCAGTGATGTCACAGCAGGGGTTTTGCCTCAGAGGAATGATGGAAAACACCTGCTGTGACATCACTGATTGGATTGTGGCCAAAAGTGCTGCACGCTTTAAAACATTTCAGTCCACAGAGAGCAGAGCGGCGGCGCTTTCCTGCTCTGTGTGATTCATTGTGGGCTCAGATGAAAGCTGCGAACATCAAATGGGTTGAAAGTAATTTTAATAGAGGGGCAGATTATCAGTAGATATTTAGTAATTACGCAGACAAATCACATGCTGAGGCCTCCTGAGTGCACTCATCTGTTGTGGAGCCAGTGAGACCTCGGCTAGAGTAGCTCAACCCCAGTAGATCCAGACATAATTATTATTGTTTACAGATGAGTTCGCACTCAGTTTTAAATTCTTTGTCCGAACTTGAATTCAGTGGCAGGACCCAAAGAGCTAATGATAAACATTTCTTTATCAGAAACCAATTTGTTTTCAGTGTTCTATGATTTTTACCAAACTCATCTCATTTGCTTTAGAGGTTTCGTTTGCTTTAAGCTGCTCCGGAAAAAGCAGCCCCGCTGTATCTCGTTTATGCATCACACAACACTGAAGCCCTGCCATTGGTTTATCTCGCCGGAGATCAAGGTGACTTTGACGTGTATTATCCAATCACATTCCTCCCTCGCTCCCACCGTTCAAGCAGCTCATCAGTTGTGCTGTTGCACTGTAGATACGCGATGCAACTTTTCAGTGTGTGTTATCATTTGTGGGAGTGAGGTCTATTTATCAATATTCCTTTCTATCGGCAGTATAGCACTATATATTTGTATGTGTTGTTTTTTCTGTGTCAAAGTGTCCACCTTAACTATATTGTACAGAAGCAGATGATATGAACTTTATGTTTTAGGATTTATTGTTTGTTTTGTACATGATGGCTTATTTGCACACCTACCTCTCCAGCCCCCCCCACCCCTCAATCCATATTGTGATTTTTATGTTATGATGGTGTGGACATATCAAATGAAGGAATGTGTTTTAATGCATCATTTCAACTTAAATGCAGCATATTGATGAGGGTTTTTTACTGTATGCAAAGAGGAACACTGGTGTAGATCTAGGATGGCTTTTCGGGAGGTGCCGTTAAGTTGGATCGGCCTATTGTCCTGTTTCCTACAGTTTTATCAACTAGGACCAAACGCAGACATGTCTTTAGTTTTACGTGAATGACCTCTGGCACTACTTAAACAGTTCTGGAAGTGAAATACAGCCTGGACAAGGCCGATAGGGACCTGTTGACATCAGACTGTAAATCTGACATCTGTCCTTTTGAATGGTGCTTCTTTCATGAGGTAGCTGCAATATGACATCGATGGCACCAACGACCAAGGCTGTGCCGACTGAATCACATGCTAGCAAGCAAATCTCAGCGTTATCAATGTCTTAACTGAAAGCCATAGGTCAGGGAGGGACAACAGAGCTGCTAGACATGGACTGGCACCTCCAGCCATGTTGTCAGATGACAGCTGAGCCACAAGGGAACGGCGAAAAAAAAAAAAAAAGACCTGTCGACTCGTGTGAGCTTGTCTTTATGAATTACTGTCGTAGTTTTCCAACATTCCGATTGCCAGTTCATCTCATTTATGCTGTTAATGTGATTATAATGCCTATTTTTGTGTTGTTGAGATTATTGTTATGATTTTTGAGCCTCCCCTCCCCCACCCTCACACCTCCCTTGTTTTAAGATTTTTTTTTAATCTGTTCTTTGGTTGAATCTTGAAAAAAATGTTGTGCAAGTCATTTTGTTTTACTCAGCTGTGAATTTTCACACATTGTGCATTTGGTTATGTATGTGTGTGCGTGTCTGACCGTGTAGTGCTGTAGTTGATGTGTAGTTGTTAGTGTGACACTGCGGTATTTTTCTCTTTGATTGTCAGACCCGCGCTCTCTCCCCTCTTTCCTTCTATCTGTCACACTCCTCTGCCCTCAGCACCCACAGGTGCAGGTAAATGCAGAGGAGCTCTAAAAGACACCAAATGTATGACTTAGAGTGTATACAATCAAAGAAAGCACAAAGGATTATTAGGCACAAGAGACCACGCGACCCACTTTGAATACACTCAGACAAAGTCCTTGAAAAACAATGTGCTGCTTTTGCAGACACGGATTGAGGTCTGGTTTATTTCAGCGGAGGTGTCGATTGAGATTAACTTTTTTGTCTTGTGAGAAAGTTTATCTATGTCTGTAAAACTTGATCCATAGGGCTGAGACGACAGGTCGCTATAAGAGACTCGTATGATGGTGTCCACTATGTCACCCATCTGCAGTTAATCCACAAAATGTATATCGCCTACATATTAAATGAATCAGATATAAGAATGTATCTTAGATATTATGAGATGTATTATAATTATAGTGAAGAGTTTATTACATTTTAATCTAAAGATTTGTCCTATACACATTCACTGAAAAAATATTCATGAACCAGCTCACTGATATGCAATAAGTAGAAGCCACACACAGACACACACTCTTTAAAAAAAAGAAACACAACACAATGTATGATGCAAGCGGGGACCTTGGAGGCCTTCTGGGGTCTGTTCACAGCCTCTGTTGTCTTCCTCCAAGAGGAATTGTGCATTATAGCACTTTAAAACGAGGACCCTCACCCTACTGTCCATCTACAAAGTCTCTCTGTGACGAAGAGGGTGTTTATGAATATGTGTGGTGAATGACACAGTTGTCCTAGACATTGTTGACAATGCAATTGAAAAAAAAATTGTGTTCCCTGTCACAATTTGCTGTTCAATAAACTGACTGTCCCTAAATCGCCTGATGTAGTTTGTGCTGTGGGGTTATACGCTGTTTTTATCACCGTGTCTGCTTTCAAGGTCCGGCAGTCATCTGACAGAACGCAAAAGAACAGACACTGCTGTTTTTGTCTGTAATAGTGCTGTGAAAAAACAAACAGCAGTGCAATGTTTTGAAGAACACGAGGATGATGTTGTGGCTCCTCGGGGCACTAGAGCAGCTGAGACTTGTGTAGTTGTGATGATTTGCTGCCTCGTGGAGCCACCAGGTGTCAGTGTGGGGTCGCAGAAGAGCTGTCAGTGCCGCTGTGTGGTGGGAGTGGGGGGGAGAGCGTGAGCACTGCTATGTACTACAGGTGTATGCTTAGCTTGGGCGGTGTGGCAGTAAATCACGCACTTCAATCTCACTCTCTGTCAGGCTATCTTATTCTCAGTCATGGTAGTTTCTATCTTGTGCAGCTGTGATGCTGCTTGTGCACAGATGTGCTTCGGCGACCTGTGTGGTTTCACCTGATAAACAAGGTGTTTCTGTGTGTCTATAAGTTGCATGATGGGAATATGGAAATGTGGATTTCACTGGATGTTTGAGGTTTATAAATCCCATATTATTCCTGCATGTTTGAGCAGAACTGATGTTATGACAGGGTTATTCATTATTAATCCCCTGCTGCTTGCTGTGTATTCAACACTGCTGTTTATAGCATTACTTTCCAGGATGCCATTTTGCAGCATAATTAAATCTTAGTACCTTCGTATGACCCTGCACACACACTCGCACACACGCGCACACATACACACTGCTGTCTTTCTTGTATCCAGGTCTTATTTCAGCCAGAGTCAGATTTCATATTGAATTTTGTGCCTCTTTGAGAGACTCCTTTCATCAGAATATCTACTCCAGTGTTTACACACACAGGAGAGATTAGCCGAGGGCTCAGTTTACCACAATGACAACACTTTGAAAAATAGAAATGAGCACCAGCCACTGTTCTTATGCTCATTCAAATCCCTTTCATGTGTCATGACTTGAGTCTCCACCATGAACTATTAATAGTCTTTAGGCTTTCTAGCAAGAGGAGAGAAGGTGGAGGAGAGGGTAGTCTAAGTTAAAGGGGGAGCACGATGGAGGGAAAGGGGGAAATGAAGAGGTGGAGACAGTAAAGGGCCGTCGATAGAAGGAGCAGAGAGCCGGAGGAAGGGAGGGGATGGTGTTGATGTGTATATAGGTCACTAAATCAATGGGAATCAGGTTTTTGAAGGGGAGAGAAGGGGGGTATTTATAGATACCAGTGGAGACAGACGCATCAGTGACAGGCACAATGATGCTGGGAGCACAGGAGGGGGAAAATCTGGGAACAGACTGTGGTCAAATTAGTCTGCAGAGAATTCTCCCTAACAAATGGCAAAAGATTCTCAATAGTGAGCAAATAGCACAGAGCGCAGTGCAAAACAAAATATAATCAAATGGAAATCACTGCAGGATGCTTTGAGCAAATGACCTTCCCAGCTTTATTGACAAAACGCAGGCAAACTGTTAGTTGTGGTATTGCTCGGAGCATTTGCATCCACAGAACGGCTCTACTCATATCCTATTGAATTGTAATCTGTGATATCAGTGAGCCACATGATTGAATGGAATATTAGCTTTCTATTTTGCAGCCTCGTAAGGAGAACCTGCATATTTATTACTTGAGAGCCGCTGAAAGGCTGCGAAGTACAATAAAAAAACATTACAGACCGCACTGTAAAGATTTCAGGTCAGAGGTTATTGGCTGATGAGCACATACTGCAATAATTTCCATTTTTAATATCGTGGAGTAATTACACAACTTCTGTTTCAACCACTCCCACTAAATGGCACAGCGGTGATGCTGGCCCCGTGCTGTACTTTTAATAACTGTCATGGCTTATCCCATTTATTTCATAATGTCCCACGTCTCCGTCTGCCAGCTGCATGTAACAAGAAGTTCCATCACAAATTGGAAATTTGCTCTGTGAACAGAAAGGAAAAGTAATTGAAGAAATTGTTTTAAATTGCCTCCAGAGTGGGTTTTTCTAGGACTAAGTCAAGGTCACGGACAAATTGTTCCTCCAGCACTTACATTGCGGCCTATGTGTGATGTAAGACAGCCTGAATACTGAATGTTAAAATAATCCACATCCCATTTCTGCATCTGATTCGGGGAGTATTTGCATAGCAGCCACATCACCTTGCATCATAAACCCGGCAGAGGACACACACAATTACTCCTCGACAGCTCTTAATCTCTGGCCTGTGCCTAATAATGTGGTCAATAAATTCGAACAGGCAAGTGTCGTGAATACAGGGCCATCTGAGAGCCATTTGTATAATGGATAAGGATATGGGTGTGCAGCAGGTGGGGCATGGTTGAAGTGACAGGGCCAGATGGGTTTGTCTTCTTCTCTCCTTATAGCAGTGTTAACTGACAAAGGATGTTGTAGCTCTAATGACTCATTTGTCACTGTGGTTAAGAAATATGGTCATGGAAAGTGTCTCAATATGTTTACTCAAGTACTGCACATATACAGTTGTGAAATATGTGCACTTACATGAGTATTCCCAGTTATTCTCTTTATAATATTGAATATTTTGTGCCACATTTAATTGACAGCTGCCAGTTACTTTATGCTTTTAGGGCTGCAATTATCACGTTGACGAATTGTCACACAAAAGTAACATCCCTATTTCCCAGAACTCAAGGTTGTGCCTTCAAATGTATTATTTTATCTGAGAAACATGTTCATTTTATAATTAAATAAAGTGAGAAAAAACAAATCCTCACAGTGGAGAAGCTGGAACTAGTCAACTGTTGGCACTCTTGCTCAATAAATGACTAATCAATTGAATAATAGCTGGAAATTAATTACAATTACAGCATACAAGGCAGCTAAAATTAGCTCCACATTGACCAGGTGCAACATTAAAATGCTAATGAATCAGTGGTAATAAACCAATAAAATATTACAGTATATTTTATGGCAGTTGTAAGGCTCTGTGGTTGAATTTTATGCCATTTTTGTGAAATCTTGGGGACGTTAGAATTACGTAAATGAATAAAAAAAAAAAAAAAGACTATATATAATGAGTTATTTTACTTTAAGAGGATCGATGTTGTAGTTAAGTATAATTTTGCATGTAATTGACTACTTTGGTACTTTTACTTCATTACAAATATCTGGATACTTCTCTCACCACTAATGAGATTCCCAATTAAACCATGCAACCCGGGTGCAAGCCCTGCCTGAATCTCACATGAATGCACAAACAGAATCAACAATGGCACGTGGCAGCAGAGCAAACAGACTTCCTAACAGCAGCTGCAAAAAGTCACTTTTTCCCATTTTGTCCTCTGAGCCACAGCGAACCAGTGGTTATTTGAGACAGAGGGAGGGAGAGACAGAGAGAGACGGAGGCTGGGAGAGAGAAAGAGGGAGAGGAGAGGGAGGGAGATAGTGAGAGTCTCAAACTGGTTAGCCCACCTATCCACTAGGAGGAGAGGAGAGGCTGTTGAGGAGCAACAAAACAATAAACAGCTACTACTACAAACCACATCGGCGGAGTTCACGATACACGCCAGAGGAGTACCAACAAATAATTGAGACAACGCCATCGTATTTGCCTCGGAGTGAAGTAACAGCCATGTATCTGAACAGGGAAGAGGACAATAGCAAAGGTAAGATCCTGTCAAGAATTGCCACTCTTTGCGAAGAGCATCCTGACAGTTTCAAGGTGTTTCATTTCTGACCCGCTGTTTCTCTTTGAGGTGACTGCCTGACATGAAAAGGTGGGGATGTACTGTCACATCACCACCACGTATATATATGTCATTTTTGTAAAGACAGCCTTATCCTGTGGCATGCACCGGTGATGTTAGTGGAAAGTGTGGGCTGTCATTATGTAATATCAGTGCAGTTAATTGCCTCCTAGGAGGATGCTTATCATTTGCCCAAATCCTGCATTTAATCCAATGCACCGTGGACGATTAATTGTGAACCTGTTGTAGACAGAGGCACTTTATCATATGCATAATTGTGCCGGCGTGCATTGCCTTGTGTTGCCAGTATTTTTGACATTTACAACACCTACTTAAGGGCAACAAAACACAAGGTCAAAGCCTCTAGCTACAATGAAACCCAAGTGTATATAGGTTATTTATGGAGCTCCACAGCTTCCGACATCCTGCAAAAAAAAAAAATACTCACGAAATGCAGCTTATTGCTTAACGGGGAGAGATAACCGTGCAGCAGCGAGAGGGGTAAAGAGGGTACAAAGGAGGCATATTTGAGTAATCTCTCCCACGTGTTTTTGAGGCGTGATTTCTTCTCTCATCGGGTGCCCAGGAACACACTCGACTCGTGTCCCCTGCTGTTACCATGAAGCACAAATAACTCTCTGGGGCTAAGAGGTAATGCTAATTACCACCTAAATCTTCAGGTTATAGGAGAATAACACCTGCTGCTACCGAGGACCGGGGAGGAGGGAGGGGAGGCAGGAGAGGAGAGGAGGGGGGTGTAAGAGAGCAAAAGGCAGAGTGGGAGGAGCCATTTTTGTTCATTTCCCTGTGATGTGAGATAATGTGAGCTCACCACACACGGACAACAACATGATACTGTACGGGGAGGTGTGCGAGCAGCAGCAGCAGCAGCATTCGTGGGTAGGAAGAGGATGGTGGCTGGCAATGACAGCAGCCCCTGTATGTGCTCACAGAAATACAGATGAAGCCACCCCTGAAGCTGCAATCATTACTATGTTTAGAGTATGATGTATACAGTGTAATAACGTCCAAAAAGTTCTTTAAATGGCTTTTTGTCCTTTTCAATAAAAAATCTCAGTAAGGTCACTTTAGTTTGACCTACACACAAGTCCCAGTAATGAAATTAAACGAATATGTAGTATAAAAAGTCTCCTCAGGCTCAGATTGACCAAACATTATTTCAGGCTGCTGTGGCTACAGATGACCTTGTTGGTTGCCTTGGTAACCGTTGTCACTAGCTAGCAGTAGCCAAGCTAATTAGCTTCCTACTACTCTCGTTTCACTCAGGATATTAAAGATGCCAACTTAACTTATTTCAGTTGTCATCCTCAAAAATCACACTGAAACTAATGTCAACAGAATTACATACTATATATTTCTTGGAAGTCACTATTTAGCATTAGCTGACAGTGTATGCTAGCTTGGCATATCATGATAGAAGTTGCGAGCTGTCACTAGCTAGCAGTAGCCCAGCTAAATAATTTGCTACTACTTACATTTCAGTGAGGATATTATAGATGCCGACTGAACTTATTATTTTCAGTTGTCACCCTGTTAAAATCGTTGACACTAAATTCAACAGAATTGCATACTGTAATTTTCTTGGCTGTAACTAATGAGCATTAGCTATCTTAGCTATCTTTGCATATTATCACAGTGGTTGTCAGTTGCTAGCAGTAAGTTAGCCCAACTAATTAATTTCCCTTTACTCATATTTCAGTGAGGATATTATAGATGCCAGCTTAACTCAATATTTTCTTTAGTTGTCACCCTTTTAAAATCTTACTGACACTAATGTCAACAGAATTACATTCCATAATTTTCTTGGAAGTATCCAATTAGTATTAGCTAGCAGTGTACCTGTTGATGCTAGCTTTGCATGTTGGACCAGTGGTTGCGAGTTGTCACAAGCTTGTGATAGCCTAGCTAATTAATTTGCCTCTTCTCAAGTTTCAGTCAGGATATTATAGAAGCCAACTGAACTTATTATTTTTCTAATTGTCACCCTTTTTACATTATACTGACACTAAGTCAACAGAAATACATACCATAGTTTTCTCAGAAGGAACTCATTAGCATTAGCTAACAGTGTACCTGTTGATGTTAGCTTGGCATATCATAGTGGTTGTGAGTTGTCACCAGCTAGCAACAGCCTAGCTAATGAATTTGCTACTACTTATATTTTGGTCAGGATATTATAGATGCCAACTTAAGTTATACTATTTTTGAAGTTGGCACTCTTTTAAAAATCATACTAAGACTAATTTCAACAGAATTACAAACCATACATTTCTTGAAAGTAACTAATTAGCATTAGCTAGCCATGTACCTGTTGATGCTAGCTTTGCATATTATCATAACGTTAGTGATTGCAAGTTGTCACAAACTAGCAATAGCCTGGCTAATTAATTTGCTACTACTCATGATTTAGTCAGGATAATAGATGTCAGCTTCTATTTTTAAAAAATTTTTAGTGGTCGCCCTTTTAAAAGTCATTCTGATGCTAATTTAAACAGAATTACACTACCTAAGGTTTTCTTGGAAGTAACTAATTAGCATTAGCTAGCTGTGCACCCATTGATGCTAGCTTGGGGCGTTGTTTTTTACCGGGACAAGACAGGATATGCATCTTTGCCAAGTCCATTCACAGCTGAGGGAGGTGAGTTAACATCTAAATTTCCATATTATTAACCAAGGAAGCCATTACATTGACTGTCATTGAATTTTGTAATGTTACAGACATTATATTCCCCAGACAACATTTTTGGGCCTCATTTTACGAGCCTTAGCCGTCCCTTTATGTTTAATGCTAAGAAGCGAATACTAGCACACTAAACTAACTGACTTACTGACATTACTGACATTGTCATGCATACAATTATAATGCTAGTATGCTTATCAAGTATTACAGAGTGCTCCAGAGATGACATTTCTCTGTAGGCTGACGCTGAAGCTAGTGTCACCCTGGTTCCCTCATCAAAAACCCTAAGGGACTTTTCCATGGGATTTTGATAAGATAACATTGTAGAAAATAAGCTCTTTGGCAAACAAAGGTTTATAATACTTTCACATTTTATTCGGCAAAATAATCTTCACAAATGAACACCACTTTTATGATTTTTAAAGGCTAAATGCAGTTGCTAGAAGTAAAAAGCTGACATTACACTATAAACTTACACCGCAGTCACATGAAGCTGTGATGTCTCATTTAGCCACTTGTAAGCAACCACTTTTTTTAAAAGCACTTAAAAGCTTCAAAATTGATGAGTATGGTGTTTACTGACAAATTGTATGTTGTCTCTCAAGCTTGTGTTAACCACAAACCTTATTCCAGGCATCTAACCAAAAACCCATTAAAAAAACCACTGACTTTGAGACAAGGGAATTGGGAGTGGCAAAATGCTAACTCATTTCCGGGTTTACGGACTCATTTCTGTATTTACTGTCTGAATTTTAGTTGTTGTCACTTAGCTCAAAGCACCATTGTGCCTCTTTGGTACAGCCTCACAGAGCTGCGAGTGTGGCTAGCTCTTTTCTTTGTGAAGGTCAAAGGAAGATGCAAAGGGAAGTGTTCGCAACATAACACATTGTTTAGTGTGTGGGACTTCAGATCCAGGAGGTCATGTTGGTTTGTTGCAGGTGTTACAGTAGGTGAGGTTGGAGAATCGGGTGTGAGCATTACCGTGAGGTGGTGAAGTTATTGAAGGCAAGATGCTGCAAATAAATTGTACCAGAAAACCTGTTGTTCAGCTCAGGTGAAGACAAAAGGCTGTTGCTAGGGATTAATGGACTGCAATTATCATAGTAAAGTTATGAGTAGGCTGACTGCTAATGTGTCGGGGCTACACTTTTAAGTGAGGAGGACACTGCTTGATTGGCACGCCTTTAATTGATTTGTGTGAGTGGGTGTTCCTTTCCGGCGGGTGTTTCCCTCGCTGCACTGCTGTGGCCTTTAAATTCACACCGCGTCTCAAGGTGGAGTGCCAGGGAGATGGAGAAAGGTCTACCAGGGATATATCGATTATAGCCTCAGAGGATTAAAGGGGGGTGAGGACAAACAGGTTGATCATATGTGAGCCTGACAATCACACAAACTGCCGGCTACCGCCAAATAAACATCTGAAATAAGACTAGAAGGGGGCTCCAATCAATACTGAACCTAAAAAAGTAAATTGTAGAAAGTAGAAAGGGGTGAATTCTGGGGATAAGTGGCACCCTACTTTCGTTTCTTAAGTCTGACGGCTAAATGGCTCGTTATTTATACCCACGGGAAAACATTCAACAACTATTTAGACTACTTACTGATGTTCAAAATGCAGCAGTGTGGGCTCCTGCAGGGTTTGATTGTAGGCCATTAACAGACAACCTGCAGATGTTCAGACCATTCAGCCCACACACAGCCAGCATTTCTTTGACAATATTCCTTAAAAAACATTGTATCCTTTAATGTAGAGGGCAGTTTAAGAATTTATTTAGATTATGTTTACTCAGTGGATTAATGTGTGTGTTTTTTTTTTATTATTTAACCTTTATTTTACCAGGCAGATTGCTTGAGATCAAATGATCACTTACGAGCAAGGCCTGACCAAAATGGCAGCAGTTTACAAAACATAATAAGACACACATAAAGAAAAAGCACAGACATGAGAAAAAGAGAGAAAGGCCCAGAGTCCTATGGAGGGATTATGCCCTACAAATACAGTCCGGTGGGGGAAGGGGGAGGAGGAGAAAAATGAGGAATTTGAACAAAACAGTCACAAAACTAAATATAGGCAAACAGAAACAAATTTCTTGTTTGTGATGGGTGTGGCAGTCACCCACCTTGGGCAAAAAAAGTGAAGCTTTAGGAAATAGGCCATATAAATAGTATTTCAGATCACAGACACAATAAAGACATAGAAACTGTGACTATTTAAATG